GGCACAGGACGCTGCGGAGCCCGGGGCTGGAGGGACGAATCTGCCGCTAGCAGCGATGGCAGAGCGCTGGCTCCCCAGGGCGTAAGGGAATCGGATTTTTGGAAACAGCTGGATGACAAAAGCTTTCTCTGATCTGCTCCTGCAGACATAATGAGGATCGTATATGTAGAAGTACAGTCCGCAACCTCCAGACCTGGTTCTTTGGAGCAGGGTTCTCTGTTTCCTATAGGGCTTTTTAGTCAACAGTGTGACAGAGCTTATTTGGGTCCCCCTCCGCAGGTGGGGTTTCACCTTAGATTTCAGATCTCCTGCTCTGATGACCGTGCTCGCATCTTCCCACTCAGAACACTTGTTCCTTTTGATACCATCTCACGTGATAACAAACAGCCCCCCTCGTCTTCTGCAGCACAGAACAAGGAGAATTGCCATTTTCTCTCTAAAGAAAGAAAAAGCTCTGTCTTTGCCTCTTCCTTCAGACCAAAGACAAGCATCCTTGCCCACCTACCTCTTTGTTACTAATACCTGTGGCTCTCCAAAGCCATTCTTTCTCAAAAAATTTGTCGTTTTCATCGTGCTGATGCTTACAGCATACTTTTTAAAAAGTCAATAAAATAACTGTATTAACTGCAACTTTTACCTTCATTCTACAGTTTCGGAGTTGATTTTGTTTCAAAATTCAGAGACATTTTGACGATAATTGTTAACACTGCAAAAATATTGTAGGGGGTGCTAAATTCAGCCTTTTCGCCATGCCGCCTTGGGAGCTGGGAGCAAGAGATACAGCGAGGAGGGCTGCCGAAAGGTCAGGTTAACAGCTGAACTTGGGATTTTCCCATCAACAATGTGTTACGAAGGCATCTTCTGTGCAGCCATCACCTTTGAACAAATGTCTAAGTAGGTGAGATCGGTATGCACAATAAAAAGCCCAAGGAGTGTTTAAACTTCTTGTTTGAAGTGAGATAAGTTAAAAATGTCTATTTGTCTAAATTTCAAGAAAAAAAAAAAAAGTATCTCCAAGGTCCTTTCTTTGCAACTAGCCGGTCGGTTCATCGTACTGAGCAAATAACGGCATGTCTAATTATTGTGGGAATATTCCAAAAGGGCTAATGTTATATATGACAGTAAAAGGGTTTTGATTAACCAGAAATCGTTCGGGAGAGTATAAAAGTAACTCTTTCCTCTTAATTCTTTCTGCCTTTCACAGATGAACCGAGCTCACCCCAGGCCCCTGCCAAAATCTGACAGTATGACTCGGAAAACAATAATTTATGTTAGTTTATTGGTGAGCCTCACTGTAGTCAAAGCCCTGCCTAGAAGTTACCGGGACACAGGTAAGAATATATCTCGTATTTTTACTCTGTTCTTTTGTATAATACCGACAGCTGCCGCTTCGCATTCGCGGTTATTTGGTACCGCGCTTTGCCACTGCCAGTTCTATGTGGGAATTTATTTTCTTATGCGTCAAAGGTATAGAACAAAATCGTGTCTGTATAATTGTTTTGTGATCCACCATCTAAGCTGTTGCTCCTTAGCGGCTTGAGAATCTGTGCAGCGTGCAGGACGGCCGGTGGTTGCTGAGAGGAAGAGTCCTCCAGGGCAATTTAATCCAGAGGGATGTGGTGGGGCCACTGATTTTAGGCCCCCAAAACCTGCTGAAGTAAAGCCTGTGGTTATTCCAGCCTCCCTCCGTGCCCACGAGGAAGCGAGACAGAGTTCCCCAGAGGGATGCTAGCTCCAGGTGGCCGTTCCGATCCGCCGCCTTACACCATCACTCGGTGCGGTCCTTCGGAGGGGACCTACGCTCCCTTTGCCAGCTACCGAGGGAGGCTACAGTGACCGCGCTTCTCACTGAGGTTCAGCGCCTAACGTGAGACGACTGAACACCTCCGAGAGCGTGCTGTTCAGATGCTTCTTCCACATTACATATTGCTGTCATTAGTCAATTTTTTTTTCCTCTTTCCCAAACGCACTAAATTGCCCAACGGTGTGAAACAGCCGATGTTTGTGTTATTTGTCTCACATTGTCATCTCAGCTGACACCCTCCCATTACTCAGAGGAGAAGCCAGCTTATTTCTGTGATTCGTTTGATCTCAGCCCTACCGACACAAGGGTGAGACGGTAGCATCCTGATGTGGGAACAGGCCCCTTATTCTAAAACAAATCTCTCAGAACATTCTCTGACAAACTAGGAACTCAAGAAATGATTGCATTTAGGTTTGCCCATTCATACAGGCCCAGTGGCAAAGGAAAAATGTTTGCACAGGTTCTTCACAGACATTGGACACGCTTGATTTCCTCTGGGCCCGTTCCCACCGCAGACAGAAGGATGCAGCTCTGAATTTCTGAGGAGCTTTGCCTGCCAACGCAGTCCTCAATTTATCCCATGTTTTCCACACAGGAAATCCTTCATCCATAGCTAAAGAGTGGCCAAGCGCACCTTTAACTAGCTGCGGCAGGGCGAAAAGGTGTTTCGTAAGGTGCTTATTTAATCACGGGAAGCGCATCACCAAACTCGCTGACAGCCCTCCGGGTTTTAGCGTGTTCCTCCCCGCAACACTGGAGCTAGGCAGGGGAATGATATTGGCCCTACGGTGTTGTCGGTCAGAAACAGTTTCACATCCTCATGCTTAAGTCAGATAGGAAGTTCAAGCTTACGCCTTCCTGCTCCCCATGCTACTACCCCAGGCACCGAATTATTTTCCTCCAGTACTCCGGTACTGAAAAAAAAAAAGTATTTGATGAAGCATTTAGTAAACATTTTTTATTCAATTGTCTTGTTTTTCAGAGGGAAAAACCAGCATTGGGCAACGTTTTTCTCAGCTGCAGGAGAATAATTTTAAAGCCATGTAAGTTGTCCAGGTAAAGCGTCTACTTGCAAATTTGCTGCCGCTGAACATCCTTGTGCGGTTTGGAAATGTACATGCCCGGCGAGTCCAACGCCCATCCTGCCAGCCAGGGGCGATGCGGATCCTCTTACTGTCTCACGTGTGAAAGTTAAAGAATTGGGGGGTTTTTTGGTTTTTTTGGTTTTTTTTAGGGAGCCAGGAACAGGTTTAACGCTGTGTGTTCTTCTCGTAGTGCCATGATCATGTTTGCTCAGTACGTGCAAGGAGGCACGCTTGGCAAAGCCGTCGAAATGGCTGAAGATGTCACCGGCCTTGCCAAAAGGTGTGCTGCTGCTGCCAGCGACAGCCCGGATTGTCTGAAGCCCTTGGTAAGCACGCTTACGCTCCTAATGTGGCGAGCCTTTTCAGAAGTGACTTGTAATTTCAGAGCCCTGGTATGCGTTGTTCCAAGAGGCATGAATACAGGATTGAGAGACTTGGCTTCCTCCTGTATGTGTGTTTGGCCTTAATGACTCGCTCTCCAGCCTCCCATCTATAAAGCATCTCAAGATAAATGATGCTTTATAGATTCCCCCCGCCCCAATAGCACAGGATCCTCGACCTGTATCTTTCTAAGAGCTGTTCAGAAAGTTAAGCTTTCATGGCTGGGGCAACAAAATTCAGAAGCCAAATTAGATATTTCTAGCAAATATGGTCTTTAGAGGCATTTGCTCCACTCCGTTAACTCACGTTGCTCTTTTTTGATGGTGCCTGCTGCAAGACGCTTGTGGAGCTGGCAGAGCGAATCGTGGAACGTGAACGTGAGTCCGTGTTACGGCACATTTCTGATCTGTTGGACGCACTGAAACAAACCCTGAGGCCTCCGATTGCTCACAGGAGTAAAACGGAATCCGCACACAAATTAACTTCTAATTTTTCACAGGACAGGATTTTCCTCGATACAATATGCCAGGAGGAAAATCTTCCCGGGTTTGCAGACTGCTGTGCTAAAAAGGATCCCGAAAGAAATGACTGCTTCCTCTCCCTTAAAAATTCATCCAGAGGGTTCGTTTCTCCTTCTGAAAGGCCAGATGCTGAAGCTGCCTGCAAAAATCATTCACAGCAGCAACAGCCATTAACAAGATAGTAAGTAAATAAATCATAGATTCGTTGCCTAGATATGACAGTTCTGAGCCCGGAGACAGCAAACGCAGTATCAACCAAAAAGCTCAGCCTGAGAGTCCCTGTAATCTCGTACTCCTTGTTCTTCCTAACGTGAATTTTTTTTTCCATAATTCATCTAGCTGGAGTTCTCATTATGCGAAGCGCCTGTTCTGGCACCTCCTGCTTTGGCTATAGGTCCAAATGACGAAGGATCCGGCCCACGTTATTGTAGTCTATGTGAAGAACTTGTCTGAAACCAAAGGCTTCCCGTTAGTCCTTAAAAGTCAAGGAGGAGATTTGCTGCCTCTAAGCCAGAACTGGCAGGATTCGAGACTTCAATTTCCAGGAAAACGTCCGCCCCGTTAGAATTTTCCAAGATAAACACCGCCCTGCACAGCTTGTCGTTACGGCAGGAGAGCAGTCGCTTTTAGCAGCTATCATTTTAATACGTGGCAGATGCCACAGTAACACCGTTGCTCCCTGCGTGTAGGGCCTTACTCCGAGACTAAAGGCATTTCTCTCTCAGTTCTAGTTTCATCTATGAGGTTTCCAGAAGGCATCCTTTCCTCTACGCCCCAACAATCCTTTCTGTCGCTCTCCGGTACGACGAGATGGTGAAGAACTGCTGTGGAGGTGCCGAAGCCCCTGCTCACAACCTGGGGGAATGCTTTCGGAGACAGGTAATCCACCGCAGGCGTTTAGTTTGTTCGGGTGCAACCCGGGACTTTCCCGTAGCTCAGCAAATACCAGAGCAGAGATGTCAGGCATTGCTTTTTCAGCATCGGAACCTGATATTAGAATTCACCTTGTTAAAGTCCAGCTGACACCAGACTTCAACGCTCTCTCGAATCGTAGCTTGAGCTCCTAAATGAAAATGCCCGACTTTGGGGCGTTGGTCTGACGGAGCATTACAGCTTCCATCTCCCGCTCGGCCGAGCGCTTGCAGCACAGTCGTGCCCTGCACGTCACCAGTGTCAGAAACTCAGAGCAAACTGCCTGTAGCGGTGGAAAATAAGGATGGAGAGCCTGCCTTTGCCAAACGGCTGAACGTGCCTTTCACACAGCATAGCTGGGCTGCGAGTGACGGTGCGGTTTAAAGCCAGCCGTGGAGCTCCCAGATGACGATTTCTTCCCCTGCGCTAAAAACACTGAACTATTATCCAAAAGGGTTCTGGTTTCTTCTCACAGAACTCTTAATAAATGCCGGTGTCTAAATAGCAAGCACAACAGGTAGTTCACATAAAAAACGGTCGCCGCAGGAGTTTTAGTGTAAAGCGTTTTCTTTCCTTCCACCCTGATGGTCTGCATCTTCTTTCCACCAGACACCGAAGGTGCTGAAGCCGGTCAGAGAAGATGGCCTGAGGCAGGAACACACGTGCGGAATCTTGAAGAAGTTTGGAGAAAGGACCTTAAAGGCTCTGTGGGTCTTCCCCAGGTTTATCGTGATTTTGCAACAAAGCGTAGGTGTCGCACGTAGCTGTGGGTGGCTCCGCACCTGCACACGGTGCAGTGACCCCAACTCGTCGCTCCTAACCGGTTTTGACACGAGGATGCTCCTGTAATTTCCTGCTCCCCTGCCACATTGCGTCCCGCCACTTTGCACCGAAATCCTTACAGGACCCTTAGATAACTCTGAAAATCTCAGCTACTGGCTTCAAGGGACGGTTATTTGTAAACTTCACTGGGAGCAGGGAGAGGCCATTCCTGAGCAGTTTGGATTCCGCCCCCCCCCGCCCCGAAGGACAGCTATCACAGTCTCACACCGTGAATATAAACAATAACTGTTTTTCTTTGTTGTAGGAAACTTGCTCAGATAAGTCAAAAATTCCCTAAAGCTGATTTTGTTACCATTAACAAACTTGTGATGGATGTTGCTAACATGCACAAGGACTGCTGTCGTGGAGACATGCTGGAGTGCATGCACGACAGGGTAAAACTCATTTCGTATCTCTGTGTTTGCAGAATTTCAATGCATTTTGTTGTTGCTGCTGTTTTCAGTTTGTTTGTTTGCTTGGGGTTTTTTTTCCTCCTGTGCTCTGATGATTGCTGTCCAAACCTGGAGTTTAACTCTTCACTCTAAAAACCTGGTTGATTTTCCCAGTTCACTTTTCCTGGCGTGAAGTCATCGAGACGGGCAGAACAATCGCTTTGTGACTAAAATGACCTCACACTGCTTCAGCAGATGTGGTTGCAGCTCCCGGCTGTGCCGTGCATTTTCTGCGCGACTTTTGGCAGAGCACAGTATCTGCCCGTCCCCCGTCCTCTGCCTTCTTCTAACGTCCCAAGCCCATCGATCTCACCGCCTGCCTCTGGCGTCCGGCCACACCACGGACCTCCGGGTGCGGTGCTCACCCGGTAGTGCCGATCAAACGGCAAGCAAGGGGCTGCGGCCGCGTTCCCTGTTCTGCCAGATGCACAGCCTGGGCCAGGCACCTCCGCTCTGCGGGAGTCACCTTCTCTGTCTGTAAAATGGAGATTAAAAACACTGAGAAGGAAAAAAACAAACCCCAAACCCCCCAAACCAACAACAAACCGACCACCAAAATCTGGTAAAATGCCCTTCCTTCCCTTTTTTGCTTTCCAGGAAGAGATTCTACACTATGTCTGCACCAACCACGACATCATATCAAGTAAAATTAAGAAGTGCTGTGAAAAGCCTCTGTTACAAAGAAGCGAATGCATAGTTAATGCAGAAAATGACGACAAACCTGCAGACCTGTCGCCCCACGTCAGAGAGTTTATAGAAGACAAAGGAATATGTGACCGCTTTGCCCAGGAGAAAGACACACACGTAGCCAGGTAACGCGGGTCTTCCGCTGCTCCTCGCTGTTGCTGTTTCGATATTGGGGGCGAAAGGTGCCGCTCTGGCCGCTGAAGCCCAGCTCAGACCCCAGCTCGGAGCCGTCTGCCCCGTGAGTGTACGGGCATGGGGCACCGTGCAAGCGGGTCTCAGCAAAACTCCGCTCGACCCTGGAAAGCGTGGCACGGGAACAAACGCAGAACAGGGCACGACTGTTGTGTCAGTGACAAAACTGAAGAGACAACATGTGAAATTTAGGTGCTACCAGTTCCCGCCTCAGGCCCAAAACACAGCTTTGGTCCGCTCTTCGGCGGGAGTTCAAACCCGCTTGGTTAAGCCAGACTGGTGTCTGGGTTCAAACAGGATCGGTCCGTTTCTGTTCCTGCCATGTTCCTCTGTGCCACGAAGCCCTGATCCTACCTGTAGTAACCTTGGGCAAGAACGTCACAGGCTGCAACAGAAACAGCATCGAGTCCCAAGGCAGAGAATTCACTTCCAGTCACGTACATCGCTTCCACTTGGGAAAGCGCAGCTAATGGATTGGGCACGGCTGGTGTGCGGGGTGACTGCGTCTGTAGAGCTCATCTTGTCAGCGTCTGCTGAGAAATAGGTCTGTTACTGGAAATTCCTTCACTACCATTTAGACAGCATTAAAAAAAGAGCAAAACCCCAAGCCCCACAAGCCACGACCGTGCTTGACCCGAGCTGACGCTGGGCTGGGACTGTGGGATGGACGGGACTCGCTCAGGCAGCGCTGTGCTCAGTCAGCCGCGTTGTGTTCAGGTTCAGTCCCGGGCTGAGATGCTTTGAAATCCTCCGTGTTCCGCCGGACGTCAGACAAAACCATCCCCAAAGCACCCCCGCTGTCCTTACCGCCCCCCCGGCCTCTTGCAGGCAGTTGTTGTGGCTTATCTCTAATTCCTGATACTCCTCGTATTGCAGGTTTCTGTACGAGTATTCCAGGAGACACCCTGAATTCTCCGCTCAAATGCTTTTAAGAATTGGAAAAGGATACGAGGACCTACTGGCAGAGTGCTGCAAACCCGGTGCTCCAGACGACTGCTGCAGCAGAGGGGTGGGTGCCACCGGGCTTCACACAACACGCGACGGGTTCCGGCCAAACCGCGGACGTCCCTGCTCCGGGTCTGGAGCGAGTACCCGCGGCGCCTGTAACAAACCCAGCAAATATTACCAGGCCCGAGCGATTCCCAGATGGAAAAAGCATCAAGAGAGCTTTCGCAGTCATCACTGGCGAAGCAATTCAACACGGACAGCCAGGGATGCCGGGGAAAGGGACGTAGCTGACGTTTCCGGGCGCCCCTCTCCCGGCCGGGCTTCCCGGCATTGCCGGCTGCCCCTGGCAAGTGCGCAAGGCGCTTGGGGTTATTGCCTCGGATAAAGGCATCGGTGTTGCAAATAGCCGAAGCGAGGCGCCGCCCCGTGTCCCTGAACCTAGCCTTCCGTCGGTGATACAGAACCATTTCGAGGTGACCGAAGGTGGACATGGATCACTCCAGGCAGGTTATAGGGGTTTCAGACAGACGAGGGCATTGTAATGGAATTAAACACAGGTGGTAGGTGCCAGGTGAGAGGGAGCTATAGGTATCCAGGCCTTACCATGAAGCGATAGGGCGTTCTGCATCCCCCCGATACAATGACTCCTCCCATTAATTTCTTTTTTTTTCAGGAGGAAGAACTGAAGAAACACATTTATGAGACTGAGAGTGTGATGAAGACAAGCTGTGACATTTACAAGGAGAAAGGAGATTACTACTTCCAAAACGAGTATAACTTTCTTATATGCTTACCTTACTCCTCGACCAGCTGGGCACAACTCGGGCTGGGGTAAAGCCACGCGTGTCAAACCAGCTAGGCTAAAAGATTGGAGCCAATATATCAACGGCTTCTAGGATTTTTTTATTTTTTTTTTCTTTCCCAAGCCAATGTTCTGGCCTCTCACGAGTTCTCTCCTTAACCCAGCTCATGAATCTGTGAAGTGACAACTTGATCAGTCTCCCGCCTGTGTTTCCTGTGATGTTCTGGCTTTGTAGCTGCGTTTTGGGCTGCGAGCTGTAACTTAAGAGCAATAAATTTGGCCAACAAAAGACAGTTGCCGTGTCTTTTGCAAAAGACTTTGCTCTCTCCAGCCCCTGCAGCAGATGTAAACATTAACAGCCGTAACAAAAATCTAACTACGGCAGACAGAGCGCAGCCGGGCCAGCTGAACCGTACGTACTACGCTGAAAAGCAAGATGCAGGCACAAGCCTCCTGGAGGACCTCTGGCCCCAATTTGCGACGTTAATAAGCATGTGCCTACCTTAAAGCATGACGGCGGTCGCAATGAAGCCTCTAAACCGCTTGCATTCTTCAAGTCAGGCTTCAGCTAGCCTCCTCTGGGGCGACACGTTGGGCTTTTTGCACTCCCACGCACGTTCGATCTTTAAAAGACCTTTGGAACTGGAAGTTTCCAACAAACCTGGTGGGCCGCTTCTGCCGGCGCTATCAGTTGTTAAGGCTTTCCTGGCCATGATGGTTAATAAGCTCAGGTTTTTAAAAAGAAAAAAACAGGTGAATTTTTTTAAGCTTATATACTGTCCTCATCTCATCTGCCAAGAAGTCACTCGAGTTCAACTTTGCTCTTAGGCAACCTCCCTAGGCTCCCAGGGAAATGCCTAACACGGGAAAAGCGTAGGTACCACCTGGTAAGAGGGCCCACCAACACGGAACTGGCACTACTGTCATGAATGTTATTTGTTTAACGTGGTAAGAGGCTGGTCAGGAAAAGGAGAGAGGTCAAACAACCAGAGCACGCTTACGCCTGCCCACGCGAGTCCGTAACCCCCGGGCTCGATCCTGCCCTCATGTTCCGTGGGGTCCGGCTGCAGGTTCAGGCGTGCGAAGGCAGTGCCTCGCTCACTGCTGCCTGGTGGAATGAAAACACCGATATCAACTACATTATCATTTCAGGCTCCTCATGAGCTTCACCAAGAAGATGCCTCAGCTGACATCCGCAGAGCTGATAAAATTCACCAAGGAAATGACTGCCATCGGCTCCAAATGCTGCCAGTTAAGCCAGGAGAAGCTCCTGCCTTGTGCCGAGGAAAACGTGAGTATTTTTCTTCCGTATCTTGGTCCCACTTGTTCTTGAAACTCTGCCACAACTGCCGCTGCCAGCAGGGTCTGAGAGCTTGGAGTCAAGGTAAATGAGAACAATCTTCACAGAGCTGCTGAGCTGGCCCGAAGACGTACTTCGATGCCGAAGCAAGCGTAACTCGGCATCGTAAAAGTTAAAGCTCGAATTAAACTCGAGGAGGATCAGGAAACGGTCAGGTTAGCACTAGGCAGTCACAGGCAGCGCAAGCAGCCCGACCCCGTTCCCTCTGAAGCTCGAGCTCTCTCATCCGCGTTCAGCCTGCCGAGGTGCCGGCAGCGCTCTCTGAACAGGAGCGGGTCTGTACAGCTCTTCCGGGACACTGCTCCAGGCCCGCGAGGAAAAGCAGTTAAAAAGCTTCAGCCTGCCCTGCAGCCACCCCGGGTACAGCATCGCGTGTGCAAACAGCCCAGCGCGCCCGCAGAAACCCTGCTGATGAGAACAAATCAAACGCAGGGATGGCTTTATGAAGAAATCGCATCATTTCTGTGCGCAAAGGACAGCCCCTAAAATTGCACATACATATTTATTCTGAAAAATCCCAGCCATTTTTGCGCTGACAAAAGTCAGCGGTCGATAGAAATATAAACCGTTACCTGTCTTACAAACAAGGTTTAATTTAAATTCTCAGTTATTTTTTATAACTTTACTAAGAGCAGCAGGCATTTCAGGGATTTTTGAAAAGGAAAAAATAATGTAAAATTGTTTTTTTCACTTGTCCCGGTACAGCTGGATCTCGTGCTGGGCGAGATATGCAGAAGACACCTGACGGATCCTATAAACCCCGGGGTTTGCCACTGCTGCAGCAGCTCCTACGCTCTCAGGAGGCCGTGCCTGGGGAAACTAGAAGTGGATGAGCATTACGTGCCCTTGTCGTTGACTCCGGGTCTCTTCACTTTCCGTGAAGACTTGTGTACGACCGAGGAGGAAAAGTTGCAGCACAAGAAGCAGGAGTAAGACACGTCCTGCTTTACTGCCTCACCCCCGTGTTTCTTATTCTCACCCTGGCAACGCTCGCCTTTACTTGTCCTCTCTGTCTACCCGCCTCGGTCTGCAATACGCCGCTGGCAAACCAGCCCTACGCCCCTCAACCCCTCTTCCAAGCTCCGTTTCGCGCCTCTCACGCCAGACCCCGTTTCTTCTGCTGTCTGGTTCGACCTTTATCGTCTTGCCTGAGATGAGAAGAAAGTCGTTTTCCGAGGCGGTAGCTGCCCCGGCACACGCACCGCCCGAGCGGAAGCAAGAGGTGCCGCAGCTGGGTCTGACGGACGTGCCCCGCACCGTCCCTGCCAGGAGAACGAGGGAGCTCCTGCCCAAAGTGCTGCGTGACCCCTGTGGCTTCACCAGGGCTCCTTTCCCAGAACGGGACAGCCCGCACGTTTTCCCTCATTCTGTGCACTCCCCCAGTCTCTGAGAAGCTCCGGTGTTGGGTTGCCTTGGCCAGAGAAAGCTCGTGTGCCAGACACACCCCCCCTCCGAGTCACTGCAAAAAAAAGAAAACCTCTGTGGCCATTGCTTGTGCTGTGCTGAACCCACCGGGTCCTGGATCCCCTGGAGCGGTGCACAGCACGTAAACCACCTGCACGGCTCGTTCATGGAGATTCACGGTGGAGCAACTCCAAAACAGAGCCGTGGGAGTTCATTTCACAGGGGAACGGGGCGCACGCTTGCTCCCTGCTGCAAATACGGATCTGGGTGGTGAGTAAAGTGACAAAGGTCTAGAAAGGACGCGGGCAGCCACAGAAGAGGGACTTTGCAGGAGCAGCGTTTGAGAAATGCTTCGTAAGCCCTGTGCTTGCCTCCCAGCCTCACAGGGCTTGCTTTGCTTTTCTTGCAGAATGCTGATCAACCTCATCAAATACAAGCCCCAGATCACGCAGGAGCAGCTGACCTCCGTCACGGCGGCCTTCGCTGCCATGAGGGAACGGTGCTGCAGAGATGACGACCGCGAGGCGTGTTTCGCCAAAGAGGTACCGGTTCTGCCTTCACCCGTACGTTCTGAATCAAAACGGGAACGTTTCTGCATTAAGCAGCGAAAGCAAAGCCTGGCTGGCCAGAAATGCAGTTACATTTCCAAAGGCAAACTGTATTGCCTGCACAGGCAGGTATGCGGGCCAGCTGCGTGATCACAACTGCTCGAATTAGTCTTGTGTTTCTGTGCAGCCGCCGAGAGATACAGAGCTCAGCTCCATCTCTTGCTCCCGCAGAGTCCCTGGGACTCGCGCTGGTGAAGGCTACGGGCAACGGCCTTTCCCCGGCTAACAGTTCTCAATGGAATTTCTCTTGAAAAGTTCCTCTGCAACAGGAAGGAGAGGAAGGATATATTCACATTTTAAGTCAAAGCGTTTTCCCCATTTATTCTCCCTCCCTCTGTTTCCCTCTTGTCTTTCCTATGTTATTCCGAGCTCACTGAACGTCACGCCGCAGAGCTACTGCGGCTTCTCTTTTCCCTCCAGTAAATCTGCTTTTGCCTCTTCTCGTGTCTCTCTCCTCGATATTCCTTAACTGAACTTTAACAAACCATCCACAACCCTCGAGCCTTGCTCTCTCTTTTCCGACATCTTTGCCTTGCTTTGCTTTAAATGATAAAATACAGAAAATGCTCTCTTCTATATGAACAGGAAATTTCCATCTCTGAACACACCAAAGAGCCTATCTGCGAAGCAGCGTTCTGCTAGCTCTTCCTAATAGAACTGTATTTCAGTATTTTTCTCACAAAGACCAAATCTTCTCAGGCAATCGGAGCTGAACAGTAAAAGCAAAACGTATATTAAACGTAGTGATATTTGTATATACACTCTGCACACAGGGAGTTTATACACAACTTGCGAAGATTATAAAACATTACCCACTGCTCCATACCCATTTATCCGGTTCACAAGTACAGCATCTTCCTGACTCTGCTGCTCATAGATATTTTGCTCTTTTTTCAGGGTCCGGAACTTATCAAAAGAAGTGAAAAAATGTTGTCAGCATAAAGAGCGGGCAGAGCATATTGGCAGACACTTGCTGAATGACAGGAACTGACACAAACTTAACGGTGAGCATCTCTTCTCTAAACGTCCGTGAAGTATAAACAGGAACGTATGATTTGGCACAGGGGAGAAAACTACCTTGTGGCTCTTCCCCCGCAAACCTAATGAAGTCGTGACGGTTTACACCAGCTACGGTTCTGCCACCGTCCCATCTGCCGCTGGGAACAAGGTAACAGAGGCGTCTCCAAATAAAACGTCGCCTTTGCGCGTAGAACCCGCTGAGCTGAGGAACCCTGAACCTGGTCTGCTCGCAAAGCTCGGCTCATCTGAAAACTAAACGTGTTTGTCCATTTTAGTCAGACAGGGAGAAACTCGGACGCAAACTTCATCTCTGGCTCTTCCCGCTTTGATTCAAAATGATCAAGGATATGTAAAATTTAAACCAAACCAGATAATTTAAGCCAGTTTAAGTCCAGCGAGAGGATGCATCACCTTAAAGAAATCCAGCGGAAGAACAAGTTAAATGGATGGAAATTCACGGTTTAAGTGTGGCTGCTATCTTTCGTTATGGAATATTATTTTACTGGTACCAAATAGCCATAGCCACCAAAAGAAAGGCATTTTAAATCTTAAGCTTACAAAACATAAATGCAAAGTAGATCAAATTAAGAAAATCTGCCTGTAACCACTTCTAAATTGTTCTTCAATCAGCAAATAATCATTTTTGCATTTTTATAGCACTATCCTTGAAATACAGCACACGCACTCACTAATACGGGCTGCTTTAGGGGAGTTATAAAGTTGCCTTTAAGCACAGAAAAACATTATCTTGGGCATCCCAAAGAGGGTGAGAAAGAAGAAAAATGAGCAAAACGTCACGGAAAGGACAGAACGCAAACTGCCGAAGCTCCTGGTCAGCGGAGGAATGTTTACAGCAAGCACCAAATCCACACACCAAGTGGTCTGACACAAAAACAGCTTTTGGGGTTTTACTGTCTTTTCATATTAAAAGAAATTAGATGACATGTTAAAAATCGTATGACAAAAACACTACTAGAAGGAAGAGGTATTTGTCCGGGAAACCTTTGGCTCGAAGGAAGAGACACCGCGGTATCGGATTCTTTCGGTGGAGGTACCTAGCAGTAGTTATCCTAGGAGCGTTTCAAAACACCTGTAAGGTAAAGAAACCTTGCCCATAAAAAGGTCTTATAAAATGCAAACCCAGCCTAAAGTATCACCGTCAGAAAGGAGGTTTCAGAGCCAGATTGAAGAGGTTGACTAAACCGAGTCCCATGGGAATCCATCCTGTATTTACTGCTAGGCAATATTTTCATTAGGATATAGGTAACGAGAAGAAAACCCATTCATTAGATTAGCGGCTGACAGCAAGATGGAGACACACCGTTGCAAATCCCTTAGCAACATTTTAAATGTCAAAATTATCTCGACAAATTCGAGAAACAGCCTAGAAGAAACCAGCTATGTTCTGTGAGACCCAGCGTAAGGTACGACATTGGAACGAGGAAGCAGCTGCCTCATTTCAGTCCAGCAAAAGTGCTCCTTAGGGAGCTGTGCGGATAACAACGCAGTTAGAGCAAATCATAAGCTGACGAAGAGTCACTCGTGGTTTGCTGCTAATTAAAGTCTGACTTTGGGCTTGCGCACCCGGGGCATAGGCAGAGCAGCAGATCAAGCAGGAGAACAAGCCAGGTAACACACGTGTCACGGTTTCCTTTCCCTCACCTCTGGTAAGGAGTTGGCTGGAGCGTTAGGGCAGATGTTGGGTACCTCACCTCCGGAAAGCATTTCGCTAAAAAGAGAACAAGGGTAGCAAGGATCCAGGAAAGACGAAAAGGAAAGCTGAAATGGATTGGGGTTGCCTGGTTTAGTAAAAAAGGCTGCAGGAACTTGGAAATCTTCGTATCCCCAAACAGAGCGATGCCAGGACAAAGAGCAGCCCGTCAGTGCCCGGTAAGGGGAGCAAAGCGCCGGGATCGACTCGCTGGGAAACGGGGGGAGCCGAGAGACACAAATATCCAATGCTCTCTGCCCAGGTACCAGGGATGGTTGCAGTACCAAAACAACAACTGCATGGCCATCTTGGGCTTCTCTCAGCACTGTGTTTTCCTCAAGATTTTATGTTCTGATGAAGATCAGTCTTGCGGAATTTGGGGGGTAGTTCTGGTTTTCAGCTTTTTAAAAAAAAAAAAAAAAAATCCCGTGATGACTTTGGATGTTTCTCACAAGGTAGCACGGTAGTACCAATTCGGGTAGGCTATGTACTCTAATTGCTGTCTTTATAGTGAACAAGGGCACAGGCTCTGAATTGAAAAGCAACCCCCATTTCCTCTCTCACCCCTGCTTTTCCTCGCTGTGTTACCTCAAATATACAATAATGCTTTGCAATAAATTCTTCCCCTGCTCAGCTGTATTTGTCTGAAACGATTCATTTGGGCCCCGCGTTCGCACAGAACTACCACCGGCAGCTTTGTTTCGCTGGCCCTTCCCACGCAGCGGGCTCCAGCCAAGCTGTGCCATCTTCCACAGTTGTATTCCAGCATCTTTAAGTCCCAATTCAGCACGACAAGTGAAATCAAACAGGCTCAAGTATTTACCATCAGGGGGCAGTGAGAACAGCTGCATTGAGGAGTTGTGTACATACACACACAGAGCATGGGAAAAGCTGCTTGGGAACGCTTTTCTGTTCCGCACTGTCTGGACATTAATATTGCTTTCGGTCTCAGAGCAGGGAATGATGAATGTTTCATATTCCAGTCTTTTCAGACTGCACCTTCATCCAACTACGCTAACATTGATGGAACAGAATGCGTATCAGGAATAGCCTAAGAAATACTGAAATACTTTTCCTGCGTGGAAGGGGTGCGGCAGCGCAGACAGAGGAAGCTGCAGCCCTCGCCCTTTTCTCATGAGTGCAGCCTCACCTCTTTGCCTGCTCATCCCTTTGAGCTCTGACTATCCCTTGGCAAATGGCTTTGAGTTGCTCCTTAGAGCTGTTCAGTCGGAACAAAGCCAGAAATCCCGACCAAGAGCCTTGTTCTGTTCTGACAGCAGCACCATTTCGAGGCGCTTCACAGAGCCAGCCCGTGCTGGGCCCATTCCTGACCTCGCAGGAAAGGGAAACGCCGTCCGTGACGTGGCTGAAACTGCCAACTCCTGCTCGGGCCTGGCTGGGAACTCGACTCCGCTTGAGATTCCACTGACGCGTGACCTTACCTTGCAAGCAGAACCGGCATGTTTTCGGGTGAGCTCCCTGGCTCTTAAAGCTTGGCTAACAGGGAGCAAATGGGTCCCTAAGGAGGTTTCAGCGACGCTTAGGGCATACTTCTGTCGCTTTGCACCTCTACCGCAGCTCTCAGTTCATACCATGCATCTTAACTGCCAAATTACTGTACTTATTTCTCTTCTCTGTGCTCCCTTGCCCATAATTATTTTCCTGGGCAGGATTATAATAGATGGTATATTAAAACAAACCCCTCGCCCCAACCACAATAGCTTCAATTATCACAGACTTCTCATTTTTAAATTACCATCCCAGTAACATCATCTCAGGCAGCATAAAGGTTTTCACATTTGATTTATTCCACATGATTTCTAAGAATCATTTTCTGCATATCCGTTTCCTCCCTCTCACAGTGTTTACCTGCGTAAGCCCTAGGCAACTGAGGCAAAACAGATGCCCTGTGAAAAAGCCAAGCTAGCACAGGAGGGCAGTTCATTGTGCACAATTAGACTTTATTTACATCTCTACAATTTCAGCTTTAACATTCAGCAAGACTCAAGCAGAGGGGAGCAGAGAGCTGCTGCGCTGGGGCCAGACTGTACCCAAGCGCATCTGCGGGCAGGCTGCCGACCCAGCCCGGCACAGCAGCAACGTCGTGCCTCTCGCCCCGACGCCTCGCCTCCCCTCCTTCAGATACACAACGCGGGAAGGAACACCGAGTGCTTTGTTTCAACACCACCACAAAACGCTGAGGTGCCTTCCAGGACCCCGTTGAGCAGACAGAACAGCATTCAGTGAGAGTTCTGACTTTGCAGTTCAAGAGGTGTTTCACAGAAAAATGCCCTCTTACGTTTAAGAGCTGAGTAGCTATGAAGGGGGAGGGTTTCCATTTAGATTTTTCTAACTGTAGCTCAAAGCTTAAGCAAGTTAGGCATCTACCAGTCTGAAGCCGGGGGGATTTCAGGTCTCTCTTGCACAGGTAGGGTGGGGTGGGTTTTTTAGTTTGGTTCGTTTGCTGTTGATTTTTTGTTTTTGTTTAAGATAATAGAGAAGCCTAACTGCAATCTTAGATAAATTAACTTTTGACATTTATCAGTACTGAAAAGCTTCCCTGTAATGTAATTCAACATTTCTGTAATAGAAAGAAAACCATATACTTAACTTTCCTATTTTCTGTACAATTAATACATTGGTTATTGCAATATTTTTCTGATATCCTAGACTTTTGATAATGGTTTGTAAAGTAGTAGGGTTTAAAGCCTTGTGCTTTTCAAGAGATTTCCCCCCCCCCCCAACTTCAGTTTCAAGCTAGATTCAACCTCTGCCTTTTGGGGCAATCTAGTGCATCTTGTTAGGTGGTTCCCAACTCGTATTCCGGAGCTGTAGAGGAGGGGGTTCAGTTTCGGTTGCGTAACTAGCAAGAGAAACTTCAGCACTTGGAACACGCCTGTGCTTTAAGTGCTCTTCAGCCATGGCACATTCAAGCAAGCGTACTGGCTTTGCTTCGGCAAAGGCGGCACGTGGGCTCTTTGCAACGGGCCGTTCACATCAAACGGCAGTCTCTGTTTTCCTAACAGTTCGGCTCTGAAGGTGCTGGCGTATCATACTCTTCTCTTTTAGGTACCTGAGATGGGGAGAGAGAGACAGAGATAGCATGCATTGAATTAACACAATCCTGCAAAACTTCAAGGCCGATTCTAACGTGCTAGTTGAATGGCTGAAAATTTCTTCAAGGAAAGCTTTTCTGATAGAAAGTGGCAATTGCAATTTATTTTTTTCTTTATGTTTCCTGGCCTCTTCAATTCAAAGTGATTATCAGTGCATCATTTGCTAACAAATCCACAGCTGGTATAGGCTCTTCTTACTTTGGACCTCAGGACTCATATAATCGTTCAGAAATACCAGTGTGTTTCTGTCTTGTACCTGTGAGAGGAACTCACGCCATTTATAGGCAGTAAAGTTCTGAAGGGACATTAAGAATTTGGCACTCATCTACCTTAAAGGCTATGCTACCTAAATCGTACCACAGTACGTACTGCATTTATACTTCCAAGCACAGACAAAGCATCGAGAAGCAGCTGAGGAACCAGTCTAAGGCTCAGACGACTAAGTCAACAGAAGTGACCCTGAGGGTCCGAATTTTCTGCAGAGATCCACCCATGTGTATGCAGTCACAATTGATTATGGAATATTTAATGGCAACAGGTCGTCTGGGTTTGGAGGATAGAGAAAGGATTCTAAATCCCGCCACGTTTCACTTCAGTAGTCACAGCACAGTGCTCTACCTGCGCTGCGCTACATGAACGCATTCACCTCTTGAGCCGACCCATAACTGTCAACATTCTCCTGGACTCAGAGTGACTCCACTCCTTTTACTCCTACTCACCTTGCAATTGTCTGTTGAATCTCCTGTTGTTCTTCCTCATTTATTCTGTGCAGAATCGATTCCAGAAAGGGAAGATGAAATTGAATATACTGAGCAACCTACCAAACAGGTGACAACAAACGCCCATTAGTAACTAAGCTAACTAGGAAAAATACTGTCAACTATTAGAACTGACAGTATACATACATCACTGCTAATCTCTTCCACGTCCCTGTCCATGAGAAAAAATCTGGCAACCTTCTCCGAGGGCCCCTGCAAGAGTCTGTGCAGTAAGGGAACGTCTCCGCTCCTCAGCTGCTTCTTTTCTGGGATTTACAAGAAATGTCGTGAGGCACAGAACATAAAACAGTCCTTTTACAAAGAACTTTTCTTGACAAAGATCCTGTATTTGACTGGCAACAATTATTAGATACCCAATATGTCTAACACATATTTGCAGGAGGATGTGGCACCTAACATAGACTATGCATTTTGAGAGAGATTGGTAGATGCCACACCAAGGCATTGCAACTTAGGTAGCCGACTAAGTGTTTAAGAGACCGATCCCATCAGCCCCATCAGCTTGACCATGACTCCCTAAAACAAAAATTTATTCCACAATTTTCAAACATGGTTTCAATTTCCTATTTTGACATTTAAGGCACATGCCCATCAGTTCTTTCTCCCATTCCTTCAGGTGTTCCTTTTAATAAAGATCAAATTTCCTTTTTCCTGAACAAATGAACTGTGTTGTGGAAGTAAATATGTTCCACTGACAAATGACTACTTCTAAGTGATCCAGGACTACCATCCAACGCCATCAATTAAAACCTCCCAGAACAGCGCCAGCAGGAGCCTGGCATCCCACGGCTACAGCGGCCAAACAAAAGCTAGAGCAGAACAACATCTTAAACACCACCTTTCATAGAGAAAAAAACAAGGCCTGCTTAGCTGCACCGGCCATACTGGCAGCACGCGGAAAGCCCCCAGAACACAGTTACGCAGGTTTTGCTCTGCTCCAGAGGACCGCACGTGGCTAAGGGCTTCCGGAAAGGCCGAAACGCCACGCCACACCCATGCTGCCCAGCCCAGGACAGCCTCCCGTGATGAATCCTGTCGCTCCAAGTTAAGCGGCCCACGCAGATGCACGGAGGATCATTAAGATGAAGCAGTCACGCAGCAGTGTCGGGCTTACCTCCGGATGCATGGATAATATAAAGCGCAAATTCGTGTGGGCTGTTTTCTATCTGTTAAACACACAAAAAAAGTCTGTTCAGGCTGGCTGATACACTCTGCACATTTCACTGTCAGCAGATATTCTCTGTGCTTCTCCACTCAGATAATTAGATCCAAGTCTGGGACTGGGATCCCATCTGTGGAAAGGTTCAGAGATACCAGATTTAGCTAAGACTGAAAGCCGTGCTGCCACCTCAGGGCTGCTCACGCTTCCGTATCGCCCCAGTCACTACCCTACCGTCTTTGGCCACACCAGATCCTTCCTGTTTCCTTGGAGCACCCTTAACTACTTCATACAACTTGCTTTTCAGGTGACCCGCAGATGTCCCAAGAGTATTACCGCAATTAGGGTGAACCCGTCATCTCTTCCTGTCCACTTGTCCACACAACCACGTTCAGAAAATAGCAGTCCTTTTCAACACTTGTTTTCCAATTTATTCTCTATAACTTCACCACCTGCTCTGTAATTACATTCCTCATGTCATTATTCATAAAGTCAACTTCCCCTTTTAGTATTACACTACAAGTCTTACTAACAGTATAAAGTAATTCTGCAATAGCAAAGTGTCTAGACAAGTTGAATGATCAAAAATTGCATGCTAAGAAGGTAGATAAAAGTATTGGAGTAACCTACGGCACGTATTTCTGACCGACTATCATCTTGTTAATGGTACCAAAGCAATCCCAAAGAAAAAAACCCAAAAAACTTGTTGTTTCAAACAATGTGGCACTGATCCTGAGCACTAGTTCTAACTCTTTCTGAGTTTTCTGTGCGTCTGGATCTAACAGAACGCATCTCCCAGACACTCCCGCCGGTTTTAAGCGCAATACCATTCCAGCGCCCGGCAGCAGAGGGAAGCACGTCCACGTCCACTAAACAAACATCCTTTATCTGTGCTGGGAAATGCTCCAAGTGCGGCCGCCTTTTCCCTCCTGTGTGAGTTCATAGAGCAGCAGTTCTGTAGTTCTTCCTTCATCGCACACTCTACACCCAATATAGCTTTTCTAGACTCAAACGGCAGCAAGACATTTGTAAAACAAACCCAACCCATTCCTTAAAAACAGCCCGTGTGGTTTTTTGTGCTCTGTTTATGCACTATCCCCTCCCAGGTACTTCCTGCCTTTCAGGCAGCTCCCGTGTGACACGCTCACATTAACATTTCCAGAACGTGGCTCCACTTGCTTCTGCAAACACGCAGAGTTACCTTAAACTTGCGAAGCAATTGTTCTATTACTTGTCTCGTTCTCATCTGACTGTTTATTCTTATTTTGGTTTCTGATCCAAAAGCTGGGGTAAAAACCGACGTCTAGGAACAAAGAGAACAGCAAAAGGGCATGAGGACTGCGGTACTCTGTGGCTGGGACTCGCAGGGATAGAAACCAGCAGAGCTCTGGGACAAAGCAAGCTGTCGGGGACGCTGCCACTGTTGCCGTAAAGGGCAGCGGTGTCCTGTGGAGAGCACCCCTGGTAGGTAGCACCACTGGGGAACCCAACGTGCGGTGGCCGCGCACACCTGGAGCCCACCTCCCGCAGCAGACCCCAAAGCAGACCTCCGGGGACGAGCCCAAGGCCCTCGAGGGGAGGGCCCCTCTCGGCTAAGGGCGGGCAGGGGAGTCCAGAAGATGCTGCACTTTTTATCTGTCCAGCACCCAACCGCAGGTGATGGAAAATGAGGATAAACATTCCTACCTCGTAGTTGTAGAAGTGGCCGTTAATTGAGAACCTGTGAGTTTCTACTTCCGTCCTCGCTATCATGGGGAACTTGGTCCTCTTCCGCACAGCCGCAACGCTGCTGCCGGCCCTGGGCAGCGTAGCACAATCACGTTCCGGCTCGCTCTTGGACTTCAGAGTGTGGCTTTCATAACATGAATAACCTGGACAACATCAAACCGCATCAGCATATTGTACACTGCTGCTCTACCCTCCTTGCCAGCACCCCCACGGAAAGGACCCTTTTAGTCGAGGTTTTTTTTTTTTTTTAATTATTTTTTGGGTGCGTGGGAGGAGTGGGAGAGGAGCGAGGCACAGGCATACGATGAACAGCAACAGGCTGTCTGCAGCAGCTGCAGTTTGCTCTTTTCTTCACTTCTTGGGAATGATTTCTTTGGTGAAAGCAGCGCCTGTTAGCACTTGCTGTTTGACAAGTTACCTGCACAGCAACGTCTTCACTAACCAGTCACACGTCAGTGTTTCACTACCACGTCACAGGCGTTCAACAGAGACAGAAAGAGATTGCCCTTTGCTGGTAGGGAAGGCCTAATGCGTCAAATCGGTTTTGCACAGTCATGGAATAGAGACTTTTTAGCGAACCTAAGAGCACCGACACTAACTTGGCTCAGGGTTTGGCTTTTCTTCAGCAGATTTCAGTGTTTCCCCGCTAATATGATGTAGGTCATCGAATTCTCCCCAGCGTGTCATTCCCCTGAAACACCAAACACATTTACAGTTGATTACTCCTCATTAACTCAGTGATTTCAATTTATCCCGTAGCCAGGCTTCATGTAACACACTCCTATCCCTGTTCAAAACTTTATGGAACATGACTACAGAATTCCATGTGGCATATAAAGCCAAAAATTTTACTTTATGTCATAATACAATGAGTTAGTACAATGTGGTGGGACTAGGGATCCCCAGTGTAATGCAATCTTAGTGGGAGCCTGTTGAACAACATCCATGATGTCCGTTAAATAATTCTCACTGATGATCTATTCTATAGCAATGCCCTGTGGGATACCAGGCAGGCATACAGCAATCACACACATACTGTGGTTTAAATAGTCACAGGACATCCCGTCTGTTATACAGATGAGGACACGAAAGATTAAATTCCTATACTACCCCCTCACACTATCCAAACTCGTTCTGTACTGAGCAGGGAATTCCATCCAGCCAGTTTTAAACCCCAACTTCCTTTATGCCAATATTTCTGTAATTCATTGCATAAGCTCTAGCAGAAAGCCTTTGGCCAGATACTGCTCTGACTGAGAATAAACCAATTTGTAGGAAAATATTAAAAATTCATTTCCTATATGTATTCAAAACAATATTCAACTAGCTCCAATGAACACACCAAACAACTATGTCAGTTGCGTTCCACGCATTTAAAAAGTTCGTTTAAGATCAAACAGCCAAGCTGCTCTGCATACCTTAAAGCATGTCAGGGCAGCTTCACGTTTCTGTGATCATGAATTAATATCTACTTTAAGATTCAGATCTCCAGTAGTCTTCAGTTTTGGAAGAAATAAAAGGCAAAGCGTAACTTGAACTGCCAGACCGGACCCTACCCTACCGGCTGCACGCACTCCGTACCAGCAGCCCTGGTCAAGGTAAGCGAAGGACCAGATTTGCCTCAGACTCGAGTTCTTTGCCTGTTACTCCCGTCAGGTTACAGCCCTTGGTTTCAACGGCAAGACGACTGTCCCTGCAACCCCACAGCTACAATGACGTTGGAGAATTAAATCTGCAATTCAAACACGTACCACAAGCAACCTAAGATTATGGATAATTAAGGAAACGAGCTCTGAAATACAGAATTTATCAGGGAGTCACTGAGGGTAAACATTGGCTCAGCCTCCATATTACACATTACTCAGCTTCAGCTCATGAGATACAACTCAATATTCACCAGCCAAGGCTTGGGAAACAGTGTTCAAAACAGAAAAAAAATACTCCAAGAAGCTACATCAGTTTTAAAAAGATACGGCAAATCTAGCAGGAGTCAGCTCACCACAAAGCACTCCGAAACGAGATGCCCTATCAGCTCAGGCGCAGCCGATGTCTGTCTATTTCTAAGGGGATTTAACATCAGGTTTTGCACAAAGCCAGTATTCGTTCCCTGGCTTTAACTTTGCCCTGGGAAGCCAGCGTTTCACACCTGCGGTACCTGGGAAGGGAGCCTGCCATCGACAAGCACTTAGCACTAACCTACCAGCCTGTTGCTTCACCCTGGAGAACATGCACTGACATGAGCTCTTTCAGGAACGTACACCAACTTCATTAGGTGTACATCTACACGTGGAGAGCATGTGTAAATTTTTATGTGTGTGAACTCCCCAATACTTGCATGGAAATAGTCAGTATAGACCAATCAGCCTCCTCCACCTTCTCAACTGTTTTCAAACTGAAAGCCAAAGACGCAACAAAGATGGACCCTTCTGCCCAGCAGCAGCTGTTGAAAGACCACACCAGTTCCACCCGGCACACAGTTCTGCTGCACAAGCGACCACCACAGCCTTTGGGCCATCTGGCATACACAACCAGCCGTATCCGTTCAAGCCGCCTCCACGAGCCATCTGGAAATACTAGCCTGCCTCTTTTACGAGGTTAATACGTTACCTTTTACTAGGGAATGAGCCCACGTTCTCCGTTGGCTTCAGGGTTATGAAAGAGGCTATCTGCTTCTCATCCTGAATTTTTAATTGGATAGGATGTCGGACTCCCCAAAATATTGACAAGATACCCTCAATAAATGGTTTGCCATCTTCTTGCTGGGAAAAACAACAGAAAACGAATAAAGAGCGCTGCATAATAATCGAGTAATCTTAAGTGATTTCCCCTCAAACTAACAGCAACACAGTGAAATCGCCAAGGCGGACACAGCCCCGGCACAGGTCACCTAGAGAGGCTGTGCTATCTCCATACTTAGGATATTCCCAAAACAGCTAGGTAAAGCTGCAGCTGACCTGACCTCGTGTCCGCATTAGCCTGACTTTGACCAGGAGGTTTTCCAACCAACATGTCCGTAATTCCATACAATTACAAGTCAAATCCTATGTGTTCTACTTGGATGCCTAGCTCTTCTGAAACCAAGGTGCTAAGAAGGTGGTGAAGGGGAAGAGCAACTGCTGGTAGTAGAGGAAGAAGTTGTTAATGAAGTCATCCTTGCTGACACAAAGCACTGCATCAGTCCAAAACCTGTTATCGGTCCCCATGCTTGCTGACGTAGAACTCCGTCACTGCAGAACGAGCTGGGACAGAGAAGGGAGGACTGCCTGTTTGCAGACCATTTTTGCCCAGAATTGCTGTAATGTCCTTTCAGGTCCTGGTATCAGCAAAACAACAGAAAGGCAGCTTGCGAAGGAGAAGGAAGTTCAGACCTCTGAAGCGGGGTCTGTGGTACGAGACACACGATTCATCTGTCCTCCAGCTCTGCAGGCCCTTCTGCTCTCCACCGAGGATGCATTGCTGGGGCTACGCTTACAAAAGTTTTCTCCAAGGTCCTCAGGGTTCACGTTTGAGCAGAGCGCAGTAGTCTCTGCTTGACCCGAGCGACAGCAGTCCCACCATTACATGCTGGGGGTTCAAGCTGAAGGGGTGAGGCGAAACTGCACCCCACAAATATTTGCAGTACTGCTCCCTCCCAGCTAAGGCTATGAGACTCGAGAGGTCAGCCCAGAGAATGATTTTCTGTGATATGCTAAGGAATGGGACGGCAAAGAGATCACACTGGTAACAACCCGAAACTCCCATTCGTGTGAACATGCCTATTTCTGCTCGCTCCTCTCCACAGTATTCGACTCTAGTGCTTGCTGTGGCCTTTTTATTCCAGCGATACGTTCCATCCAACGTACTAACACACACACACACACGTCTCCACAGTGCCCAGCCTAGCCGCATTAACCATCAGCACCCATTGGCGCTCTTCCTACTATTACATTGTGCTTTTTGTATAATTTTTATGTAGACGCTTACCTGACTATGCGACAGTTGCAGATTTTCTTGATCAGAATAGTAAGAGTTATAAGTCTTCAGAAGAGAACTGAGCTGCTCTCTACAATAAAAGATCACAAGAAAAAGAACAATTTTTTAACATCTCTGTCACTGTAAAATCCAGGTTTGCTAAGCAGCAGGGTAACACCCTGTATCTGTGTTGCTTGCTGCATCTTTGCACAGATTTGTTAATGATTAGTACATCATTTTCCAGGAGTAAAATTACCTGATACACAGAGTAAATTAATTACTCACAATCTGACATGACTTTAATAACACTGCCCTAGAATAACTTGCACTTTGGACTTCTGTTATAGTTGCAAGGGGAAAGCAAACAGGAACAACACTCCCATGCATCAACATTGCAGATTATTTTAGTTAAGTTACAATTTGTTTCCCTGCCTGATGGTTTCCATTGGATTTTTATATTTTTTCAAGTACTCTTCTTATTACAAAATATCTACAATAAGCCTAGACAAAACATTTCAGTTTCCTTCTGCTTGAAATATAACAGCTTTGCACTGTCTTTGCTCAAAGGAAAAAGGATGGAGACAGAGAACCTCTGCCAACAAGCAAGGGTTATAAGCCTGCCCATCCTCGCAGATTTCAAACACAAATTCACACTGCAATTAAAAAAAGGAGCATAACATTGTGCATTGAAAACAAACACTGCATTCAGTCAGGAAGGCAGCGTGAGGCACACTGGTGCTGATGATGTTTCAACCTTGGTATTTAAGAACCACCATCCCAGATAACTAGACCTGTCTCCATCCTTGATAAACTCACTACACTGCAGGAGAAGAGCGTTTCAGAAAACATTTCAAATTTGATGTCTTTTCAAAGTAAGCTAATTAGAGCTACCGCACATCCCAGTTTCTAGGCCAGGGCCACCGCCGCCTCCTCCCTTTGCCATCTTAGTCTGGGAAGAAAGAACTTGAGCTACTGGATTTTAACTACATGCTATCCAAACAGTCTGGGAAATTTCAGCAGAGACCGGGCTACCCAACGTCCCGAAACCCTGAGCAGCCTGGGGGAGCATTTCCCTAGCGCAGGGCTCTCCGGCAACGGCCAGTGCCAGCACCGCTCCCAGCCGAGCGGACGGCAGTGGTGCTGTGCGCAGCTCACATCACCCACGCTGCCCGCTTCGCCCTCGTCAATGGGTAAGGCGAGATCAACGCCACGTTGCACAAACACGGGCTGGGGGACAACTGCTGTGGCACCGAAAAGAACCTTCCAGTTACTGCTTAGCAGCTGCTGGTCCCAGGTGCTGTCCTGTTGTGTAATAAGTAACCACCACACAAGGAGATACCCACGGGAATATCCTCTGCAGAGCAAGGCTGCCTGAATTACAGCTCAAGCCCAGATTTACTCAAAGTACTCTGCCTTCTCAGCACTACTTTTGAAGAAGGATAGACACAAAGTTGATAGAGTCCGGAGAAGAGTAGGAGAGCTATAAGTGGCATGAACCATGAAGACAAAAAGCAAGTTGCAGCTGAGGCTAAGGAGGACCAAAAAAGCCAGAATTAAGCAACACACATTTCAGGACTATCAATAATGAAACCCTCTTCCCCACACCAATTAAACAGCAAAGGCTAATCCAAGAAAGCAGTTTCCACCAGCAGAGATAGCTAAGCATGAGAAACAACTGCATGGAAGCCTCTGAAACCTTCCTCAGGGACGGTCTTGAAGCACCTAAGAAGATGAATAACAATCAAGACAGTTTAATGTACTATCTTGCAGTGGTGAGCAAAGACACCAAGTTTGTTTCCAAATAACATCTATTTGTTTTCTAGTATGAGATATCATAACAGGTGAACCACAGGCAAAACAGACAGCATTTGCAAACTCTTTTCACAGGAAGTTCCACAGAGACCTACGGAAACTATTCAATACCCACATACCATCAGAAGTACTATAACAATTCCTACATCAACTTTAAGAAACAAAACACCCACCCCAAAACCAGAACCAAGAGTTAACTTCTATCACCGTCACTGAAGACCAATTCACACATGGCAACGACGCTCAGTAGAAATAACATTTTAATATTTCAACAGTCAGAGATCACCAAGACCATCAAAGAAATAATGCCAGAAGTGCAGGAATACATGGACCAAGGCTATCCGGAAAGTATTACACACCACCTTCTGCAAGAGATATATTTAGAAGGCAACGTTATAGTACAGCCTTGGGGCATCGGAATAATTCGTATGAATAGTTTTGGCAGAATTTTTAACCTTTGTTTTCCTCTAACAGTCACAGCAGAGCCACGTCCCAGAACACGAGGACATGACCAACGGTGACACTGGCACCCTTATCAGAGACGACAAACCTAAGAGTGATCTCTCCCCTAGGAACGAGATCACTGCAAAGCACTTCAGAAGGATATTTTCAGGTGTGAAATGAATATGATTTCATACCATCTCCCCCTGAGTCTGATCAGATTGTGACACTATTTACCCACACTGACTGTTTACATGGCTGCGCAGCTGACTGCATAACTTAAAAAAATAAATAAGTCAGTGTTGCTCGGGGGATATCACCTAAGATATTAAGAAACTCCCAGAAATTGGTGCAAGAGAATAGGAGAAGGATAGATTACGAAAAAATACAAATCATTTTGGTTGCAAACTGCTGTGTGTCAAACTGCTGTTTTAAGTGTGTCAAATTTGACAACAAACCTATCTTCTCCTGGGACTGTCTTACTCCAGCAGCATAAACCAGCGTGTGGCTTCTGACACAGGCGCTCTTCTTCCACCTTCAGCCTCCCCTGCCTACAGCCTCTCCGAGAGCCCAAAGCAGGAGCCTTGCACAGCAGGATGGTGTTTCTCAGCCACCTCTTAACGTTTACGCACATGCAAAGCACCTGGACAACACGGTATCTCTGAAAATCGCTACACAGAACTGCAGCACAATGCGAGTCTCCACATGGGGTACAGAGCTGTAGCATTTCAGGGCAAGGAGGGCCAACGTCCAGCACCGCATCGAAGCGGAGCGCGCAGAGGGACCGACGGACACGGCTGCCCGAGAGCCTGACACGGACACTGGTCAGCGGGAATGTGGCCTTGCCCCAGGCTTGGGGACAACACACTGCAGAGGGAAGCAGGGGGAGTCGGGAAGGCGGTTTGTGTGGGCACGCAGAGCGTGCGAGTGAAAACCTTTCCCGGACGTACCCGACGCCTCCCTTGCTCCACACACTGAACTGGGCACGCTCCTGTTCCCGGTGAGCCCCTTCCTGTGCTGAGAAGGGAAAAGATAAACTAGGCTTTAACTCGGCAGCTAGGACTAGGATCAAGGCCACATCACTAAACTCCACAAGGTTCACTGCATTCCCTTCTTACACTCCGGATGCAAATTATTTTACTTTGCTAGCCTACTGCAACTCCCCCCATAATATTTTGAAGTCGCTTTACCAACAGAGTGCTGGTAAAGCGGTATTTTTAACATCTACTTCAAATCGCTTTGCTCTTAAATCCTAGTAACAGGGGTAGCAAAAGCCTTCCTTTTCATTGTGTTGGAAAAGCTCATTACAGGTTCTTGGTACCTCGTGAGCTTTGAGGGACTGCATTTGGGTCATCCCATCGAAAGGCAAAGTTTTAACAGACTTAGATATCAATCAGGTACAAGTGAAATTTGGATCACGCCGGCTAAAGGTAAGCACGATTAACCACGTCTCGGCCTCACACACGGGCAAAATCCAGCTGCATCTAAGATGAACACACAAGTAAGAGAAAGTTTTGTTTGACTTCAGTTGTGATAGGCCTGCTGACCCTGCTTGCCAGGTGCTTAACACAGAAGCCTCTATGCTTCGCAGCCCGATACCTTTGGCAATCATTTTATTGACAGCTGTTATTTTGCAAGTTTTTTCCAGGTAGAAAGTTGGGGAGATCAGTTCCCTGAAGACAGATGAGGAAAAAATAAGGACTTGGGCCAAACTCTGAGGTCCATCTGTTACTCTTAGTCCACGTTGGCTGCAAAGGCAAATAAAACCATCGGCTGAAAGCATCAAGTGATGTGGTCAGGGTTATCTGAGGCAGATGCCATTTCTCAGAGCAAGCTCTGAATATTTTGACTTCGTTTCTTTCCCCATCTAGAAAAGCTCCTCATTAACTTCCACAGAAGTTTGCACAAATAAATCTTTCAGGTTTCAGTTTCGCATTAGTGCAACCAACGGTGACGAACCATACAAGCGATTAGAAAAGCCCCGAGGGAGAAATTTAACAGCAGCGCACACTGACTTGTTTGTCCTTGTGTAGCAGAGACATTAGAACAGAAAATCTTTCTTGGCTTCTTTTAGCCCCAGAAAGGGCTAACACACCCACCAGCGTACCAGTTCCAGAAGGAATCTCACTGTAACACCTCTTGGCCGCGAAAGCCTAAAGACTGCCCTAGCCAAGAGGCAGATGGCCATCTCTTCAGAGTTACGCCACCCAAAAATCAGCGGCTCTGTTGTGTTGCAAGACTGTTGCTCACAGCACAGCTTTGTGACAACAGCCAAATGCAGCCATTAATGGCAGCCAAAGCTAATTAACTGGCAGAACGACTTCAAGACAAACCCAGCAGAGGTAACATTTACTGCCGATTCACCGTTTTCTTCAGTAATGAAGGCAGGATACAAAGGAGCTGTAAGGTCAAGTGCCCCAGTGGTAAACCACAACAGAGCCCAGACTGCGTTTGCTGGAAACGCTAACCCAGGACAATTCACCTGCGTCCTCTTCTCCCGAGCCCTACGCAGTTATCCAGGGCTATTTATGGCAGTTATGCTTAAAGACACAAGAGTTCAACCAGCCAAGTAATCCCACCGGTTGGGTCAGCCTTTTGATCCAGCCATTATGCAATTCCCAAACAGCAGGCTTGCAACATCACCAAGATTTGCATGATACAACTGGAAGAGGAGTAATGTAACAGCAGATTCGAGGTATAGATGAGGGGCAATAGTCTGGAAATTGCATTGGAAGCAAGCTTGAATGCATACAGAGTATTTTAGTGATTCTTGAAACACTTAGTTGTTTTTTCACAAGGGAAACCAACTTGAACAGTACTTTAAAGCGTGACTGCAATGCACAAGGGTCTCAACCAGGACCTGCATTTCAGTACTTGAACAGGCAACTATATAGCGGAATAAAAACCCAGACACATCGGTTCATCTGGTACATTTCCAAATGCTTTTGTATGCCAAGTATATCAAAGTTCACACAGATTAATTACCTCTGACACAAAAGCACTACGTCTCAAATTAGTAGCAGTATAAAAGGAACAACTCTTTCGGAGAAGGGGATGCGCTTATCGCCTGCGTGCTTTGGGCAAAGCTCTAACACCCTGCTTTAAAAAGGGAGAAGTCCACAGCCCTGCTCATGCCACATATAGAATTATCAGGATTCAGATGCAAATACCCATTGCAGCAGGAGAAATTCTATGACAGGCCCCATCCCCGGGTGCGTTTACAGTTAGCTGCTTCTCACATCTAGCGGGATGAAAACAAAGTGAGAAAAGAGCCCCCGCTTCCAGCTCCTGTGCTCTGGCCAACAAGGGACAAATCAGTCCCCCCCAAAAAGGGGAGGGAGCTATACGCCAGGCAGCTCACGGCTTAGGGCAGCATCAGGAAAAATTCCTACCAGTCAGCTTGAACTGTGGAAAAGCATCCCACGACATACAGTTTGAGTGCAATTCCAAGCTTTTTCAAGTAGGTTAAAGAACCCCTTTCACTCACCACCGAAGAGAGCGGGCAGCCCCATCGGTCTTTCCCCAAAGCAGCCCTGCCATCGGGGGCTACAGACCGAACAAGTGGAGCTCAGTTTAAACACTGAATTCATGTTCAATTCCAATAGATTTCAAAAATAGGAAGGACTTGCTCCCTAATGTGGATTTTTATTTCAGTACCCTCTGCAAGTGCTGTTCTACCAAACGAACAAAACCCACTGACCAAAAGGTTTAATGCTCTGTTCTTTGAAATCCATATAAAGGGCAACTTTGTTCTGGAGATACCTCCCAAAAAACCAAGTGGTAGGAACCGCTGCTGCAACAGACTCAGGTCTGCACAGGATCACCTGTTCATGAGTAAATACGGAGTAGCTTGAAAGGTAACAGCAAAGTCATTAAATGCTGGGGTTTTTTTAAATTATTTACCTGGTTATAAACTTCTCCTCATTAATGGAAACAGAAGGTAGATGCTGTGCTTTCATACTCACTTTCTTCATTTATTCAGAAGAGATGAACCTAAACAAAAAAAAAATTATAGCCACCAATGCCACTAAGAAAGACTAAATGGTAAGCACAACAAAGCCTTAGTTGGCCAAGTCAAACAGGCTCGGACACTCGAGCTAACTACACCATATTCTGACTGCTCTGTACTTCATCTTAATACCCCAGTATTTCCCCCACCTAGTAAAAAAGCAGTAAGCAGTTCTCACCAAGTATGTCACAGCACCTTAAATCCCAAGTACTACATGCAACAGGACTTTCTCAAGCAGTTTTAGAACTACTCTACAACTTCATAATTAAGCTTCACTTGTTAGTAGACCGAGGCTGCAACCCCATCGACCGGTTTGCGTTCTTTCGTTGATTATGGCTAGAGCATTGCCCAGGGTCACCGAAAGACCTAAAAGTGACTCAGCAAACCACCCTTAAGCAGGTTCGTAAAACTAGACAAAAGAAGGAAAAGCGTTGATCGCTGGCAGTGTCCTGCAGCGCACCAAGAAAGCGGCTGACATATTAAAGAGAGAACAAGGCTATAATTAAAAGTGATGTAGCAATATAATTTACAGATCACCCTGTAGTGATTCCAGCACATTGTGTAGGCAACAAGCCAGACCCATGAGACACTGACAAGGCATTCTTCAATAAGCTTAATTATGGAGTCTTGCCTGCTTTCATTCCCCCTCAGGTACTAGGGGAACAGGCAGACTGAGCAAAGTAACTGAACAGACTCAGACTCAAGACTGACAACTCAAACTGCACAGAAACAACCCTTGGTCTCAGCACATGAAGTGGCATCATATGCGGAAAGTACTAAAATCTCCAAAGACCGCATTCCAAGTGGATTATTCCCCGCTACTTCTCTCTTCTGCGGGCACGACGACAGAGGAATTTGCCTAACAGCCCTTGATGTCCCTTCTCCCTTACTCCAGGAGATGGGCCCCACTCTGATTTCAGACTGCATGGGACAGAGCCTGGTCAAAGACATCTGAAAAGTAGCTTATTGTCTACAGTACTAATGACAAGTAGCCTTCAGAAAAAAAAAGTCAGTTTAGAAAAGAAACTCAAGCTTGAAAAGATCACAGCTAGCTAAAGAGTAAGCACCCAGCTTCTGTGTAAGTAATCCTACACTACTGAGCTGCTTTTTTAGAAGCAGTTAAAGAACGTTTCCGTAGTCATCGATAAATGACTTTTAAAAAATAAATATATGTGGACAAGTGAGAAGTTTTGCATACAAGCACGTTATCTTCACCCTACAAAACTTACAGGAAGCTATTTCGCAACCTCTAAAACTAGAACGCGCTACCGAGATGAGCTTTGCACGAGCAGCTGGGGTTTCTAACAGCGCTTGGTCAGTAGCTCACAGAGAAGGGCAGGACCCATCCCACATACCCACTGTCCGGTGGGTGACATCCACCAAAGCAAAACCATACCTGAACACCAAACGAGCCCAGGGACTCCTGTACAGACAGGAGTTTGTCTTTAAGGAAGACATTGCTGTACACCAGCATAATAGTGTTGTTTCTTTGCCCTTGAAATTAGTTCAGTAACCATTGGCCCCACCTTGAAATCCCATTTTAAGGGATTTACTAATACCTCTAACTGAATCAACTGCCTATGTCAGTGTAGTTTCAAAACAATTTTAGCAGATGCAGAGGAGTTAATGTACGCTGGCACTTGAGTAACTGGATATACACGTGGCGTCCTCCCATCTGCCAGGAAACAACACGTTAAGAGCAGCAGATAGCCAAGTCACCACTATTAACCTCAGAGCAGCGACTCTAGCAAGCCCTAGCACCGCTTCGTTGCTCGTGGTTGCATTCTTCGCAGAAGCATTGAACCTTAAAATGATTCATATGAAGGAAAAAGCTGATCTCTACACATTGCGAGAAGTGACCTTCACACAAAAATGCCCATTATCACTGAACTACCCATTTTGTTACACAGTGAATGGCTCTTACGAAGTTATTTGCCTTAAAAACCTTGAGCATATCTTAAATCAGCTGGATGCCATTAAAAGGCTGACAACAAAGCAAACCAGGAGAGCAGTTGGTGACAAGGACAATTCTTCACCAACGCCTCCCCCTTTTCTCTCCCTCGCCACGGGATTAGCCCCAACTGACTGCCCTTCTCTCCTATAGCTGATGCAGAAGCACAAACAACGTTCGTTACATTTTCCTCAGCTATGGGACCAGTTCTGCTTATCAGGCTTGTACAAAGCACTTCCACACCACTAGCTCACCCTAAAGATAAAACGCTTCTCGTCGCACCCTTCCCATCTGCGCGTTTTGCCTACATGCATCTCGCGCCCCTTATTTTTAGTTAACCCTGAAACCGCGGGTTGAGAACACGCAGCGACTTCTCCAGCACCGCTATGTGACATGACAAATGACAGTTTATTTACACTGGCGCTCCTTACATCCACAAAGCTGTCACATGTTCTATCACCTCCCGGAATTTTCTTTTTCCATGTCACTTGCCTGCAGTTCTTTTGAGGAAGCAAACAGAAGCAAAATGTGTTTCTTCCCCACTGTTCGCTTGGATTTGAACTAACAAAGACATGCCAATTTTCCTGCTCTTCCAGCAACATCTGTTTGTGGCCATCTGTTCCAAGCTGACTCTTGACTTGGTTGGTGTCAGACAGGCATCTTCATCATTACATTAAACTGGCCTAGAACTGCACAATTCCCTCAGACAGGCGGGACTTTGAACGTGGGACCTCGGCTGGACTAACCTCTGGGCCAGAGACCTGACTAAGAAGAAACTTAACGGTCAGAGGAAGACTGAAGCCTAAAACACTTGTGGAAGGAAAGAAAAGAAACAGAAGGGAAAGACAGGAGGAAATGAGAAGCGGGGCAGATGCAAAATGAGCAACTCTAGAGAATAAAACCTGCAGCTACTGGAGAAGCCGAGGAAAAGGAAAAAGGGACATAGGACTGCTGCGCGATCCCAAAGCTGTGACAAGATCAAGAGTCACATCAGGGCACGAGACGAATCTCAAAGGTACTGAACTTGACTTTTCTATGAGATTTATATCTTACCCAAAATGATTTTTTTTTCCAAGAAAAAGTGGAAGTGTTAGAGGAGAGGCAGATGAGAGAACTGTTGTATTTTATTAAGTACAGAGATCTTTGAGTTACTTGCTTAAAGGGACACAGCACAGGGACAGGACAGTGGGGGAATGACAACGCCAAGGTAAGAGCCAGCAGCCGGGCAGATTTTTACACAAGGGCAAAGGAGGCAACTGTGGAGGAGGGCTGGGAGGAGAGGGACGCCCGGCATCCAGAGCTGAGCCACGCAAGAGCAGCGAAGCAGCCTTTTTGTTTGTCTCTAACAGCCTGGATGCACTTTTTGGCACATCCATATATTAAGATGGGGACTGCAGAGAGATCAGTGCGCTGTGCAGAGCTCCTGCCACTGTTAAGGGAAAAAACACCCCCAATATTTCTAAATATTTTAACCCAGTGCTTCCCAAAGCTGTTCAAAATGAAGGCAGCCAGGATGGGGCGAACCATCTCACTGTCTCGTATAAAAACCACAAGGCTCAGGTGCCCTGTCAGCTATCGACAACAGTTACCTCTAACGTTATGTACAGCAGCAAGAACTTCGCGCTGTAGGCACCATAGTACATTTACCTAAGTCATTTTGTAAACTCTCAAGTGTCAGTTATTTAGCAAAATTTTGGACCATTATCTCTTTCTATGAATATGAGTTTAGGATTTTTTCACATACCTAACAAATGCAGTATCAACAGAATAATTTTACTAATCTTCACCTAGTCACACGCTCTAGTTAGATGAGCCTTCACGCTGGGATTTTTTGTTTGGTTGCTTTTTTTAAGTTAGATGTCCTCAGCACCAAAGCAAAGGTCTAATCAAAACAAAGTACTTAGTCCAAACACTGGCATTTTCCCCAGTGAAAACCAGGGGTGGTGGGTTTGGTTTTTTTCTTTGTCTTGCAGACTTCTTTATACTTTATTTTAAAAATTAACGACTACAGTACACAGCAGTAATGGCACTACTTGAATACAAACCACAGTGTAATCCGTCTGCTGAGGCAGGATCAGAATGGGCTTTGGTTACTGAAACCAAAACTAGGTTGGTATTTATCTGTGAATACAGCGCCTGAACTTTCTCAGTCACCAAGAGATGCATGAATTCCCTCCCTTCACGCAGTGATGAGAGAGCAGGGCTTGCACCAGATCTATTCCAAACACTAAAGTAACCCATTATTATGAAAAGGTACTTTCTATTTCAGGTTGCTTAGGAAAGATAACTTTTACCCACCAAAAAGAACGACAAGGTCACTGACATAACCTTTTAAATCACAACAGGGACTGAATCAAGGGCAGCGAAGGCTTACGGCCACGTACGCGATTAGCAGTGGTGCTACCTATTATCTGCCCGTTTTAATTATAAAACCCTGCCTCACACAAGCCGTCTCGAGATTTAGGAACATCTTTGACCAGTATTTGTGACCCAACTTTTCTCCTTCCCTCCGGCACCCTAATTACCCAAAAGGAACGTGACTCGAGTTCTGGGTGACTGCGAAGGACCCCGCTTTCACTGACACTTAGGCGGCAAGCAGAACAGCTCCCGCTTTCCGTGTCACTTACCTGTGCGTAGATCAGGGGAGGAGAGGCGGAGGAGGAGTTTCACGTACCTTCCACTGAGCCCTGGAAGAGGCATGACAGCATGCGCTGGCTGACAGTTACCTCTGCTACTCCATGGAACCCACAGAGCTCTTAATTACTATTTTGCCTAACAAACTGGAAGCGCTGGAAACCCAGGACACTCCCCGCAGCTCGGTGCATGTTGGGAACCTTTACCTGCCCACTTTCCTTCCTCCGAGCAGCTGACAGGAGCGCTCCCTTAGTCACGGCTACACCTACGGGGAGGCTCCAGTTAACACTTTAATCTCTAACTTCATAATGAAAAGCAACCTGCTGACTCTCCGTAATCATTTGCTGACAGGGCACACCCTCAAACATCCTGTGCTGAAAGCACTGTTACGCTTTAACCTCTTGTCTTGTCTGTTTTCCAACTCATAGGAAAAAGTCGTTTTTCCTGCCCCAGATATATGCCTATCTTTAGCATTTGGTGGAGTAACCAATACGAACAATTAGATCCTGCCTAAGCGGTTTTATAAAATTACGACAAATTGTGACAACACAGCTCGATCACTTAATCACACACAGCTATACATTCAATTTTTTGCTCATCTGCGCTTCAGCTTTATATAATTTTGCATTAAGAAGAGGCAAAACAGACCCATAAATATTTGGTTCCCAATCACATCGTTATCCTCTGGTGTACTCCTCTCAAGAGCTAGGCTCACTGCTGTACACACAACACTCCACTTGATATTTGGGACTGCAGTTTACGCTGCAGTTTCTAGCTCTGCACCTTAAAAATATTCAAATAGGAATTTCATTGGCATACATAACGTTGAGACGTCTCTCAACACACAGAAACCAACACAGGAGATTTTTTGCTCAATTCACAATAGCACAGAAGCTCCACGCAGCAGCCTGTCACCTTCGAGTCTCCGCACCAAGATAACGTCGGATCTGTTTCCAACAAGCATGCCACCCGGCTGGACACTCACACCGTAGAGCTGCTGGGTTCCAGGAGGTATCTCAGTATTTTTAGATCTGAAGATCACACTATTTGCTTACAAAATGGCAATGTGATGTTAACCCTTCAGTGTAACTCGGGCTTCATTCCGACTCCCAACTTTTAAGGTTTCTTTTCTTTGTTTTTTTAAGATTAATTTAAGATTAATAGCTTTTTAAAGTTAACCAGCAAGTTTTGAAAACACAATGCTTAAATTTCTTAGACTCATGCAAGGATATCTCAGTAAGAAATTAATACAATAAGGCAATAAAATCCACCCAGCTGTAATAAAGGACTAAAGGTCTCATTTCCAGGTAAGCCAGGTGTGCTGATTTCTACAGTGGCTTGGTGAACAGGGCTCAGGTTTGTTTCTAGTTCACTCATGCTCGAGCTACTCCTGCCAATGGCCTAGTTCTGATCTCATTTGAGTCATACACAGTTACCTGATAAGGCCCTTGGGGAGACCGATCGCTGCAGACGTCGCATGGGGGGAAGGTCTTTAGGGCCACATAGAAGGAATTAGTTTAATGTAAACCCCAAGAAAGAGAATGCCTCTGATCCTTTCATAGCAAAGTAAATAATCAATGCACAGAGAGCATGAGTTTTTCAGCTTTCATAATAAACATAAACATACGCCCTGGAAATCCAGCAACAAGTCACAACTTGGTTATACTATTTCACCCCTTAAATGAAAAGGTAAGAACGATTTCCTTAGAACAGGCAGGGAATGGGATGATTCTTGAGTCTTCAAAGGCTGTGTTGCATTTCTGGCTCCTTGCACGATCAACATTCAAATAATTTTCAGTTAATAAATAATTGGAAGTTGGAGTTCAGACGTTTTATAACTTGGCCTCAAATCATTAACTAACAGACCACTAAAGCTAAAACAACATCTCCAATGGGAAAAACTAAGATTCCCGTTCTATTTTTGTAGTACACAATCATAACAAGCAGGCCGGCCACGGCAAGATCACGCACACACGCTGGACTGCAACGGAAGCGATACACGTGAGCTCGCAACAGATTTCTCTGCTTCATAGTGAAAAGGAAAATCCCTAATACTATTCACAAACAGCAGTGTCTGGACAACTTTAGATCATTAACTCCAAACATGGAAAATGTTTCTCTGACTTCCTGAGCCAGCTACTGCAATGCAAAGGTAGAGCCTCAACTGACAAGATCAGATATTAACATAAAATAAATGATCTGCTCTTTCCTTTATATTACAAACCTTGCCAGAAAGATTGCATCGGTATAGCAACAAATCAAGGAATTTATAACGACTGGATTTGCCCTGCAAAGGGCCTCCCATTCTTTAGCAAGATCATTTTCTGTCGTCGCACCAAACTGCCAACAGCAATACTTGTCTGCCAGGACAAGTTTTGCAGACACAACTGATAAACATGGAAAACAGAAACTAGGAAACAGATGATTAACTCAGATAATTAAATATGCCATGCACACATCCATTACAATGCCTTGTAATCTATCACGGGCCATAATCCCTCACACAGGCTATTTTGTGAATTTTGGGGGTGACAGGTTTCTAAGGATTAGAAAAGAAGCAGAGCCGATGTTAGCAGCAGCGCACATGCTAAAGGCTATGGTTCCTGACACAGCTTAAAGAACCCGAACTTCCCAGGTACTGACCTTTGCCCGCACGGAAAGCGGCTTGCAGATACCGCTGTCTTCATCCTCATGAGCCACTGTTAAAAAGAAAGGTCTTACCTAAGCACCTGCAACACCATTAGTCATGAACCACAACTTACCATTGACTACATACCCCTATGAAGTCATACTTTTGATATCACTCAACTTGATAAAGCCATACAAGGATTTTCATTGCCTGAGGCTACAAAATATTATAAAAGTAAGTGCCCTGTCCAAAAGAGCTACAGTCATGCAGCTTCTCCCTCCCATTAGAGCTCAGCCAGGAGTAAAATCACAACCTCACCACACCCACCAATTTACACAGCACTTAGAAGCCCTAACTCCTCCACACTCAGGGTTGCCAGACCTAGATTTTTATCAAATTCTTGGTTTTCTATAAAACATCCCTTCCTCAGATTTCTTCCTACATGTCTTTTTTTAATCTGTGCTCTTCTGTCCCTAAAATATAAAACACCTAGTCTGTCTGCCTGCTTGTTGAGAGCCACATCCAAAGCCTCTCACAGTCTCTCCCCACACCCAAAAAAACCCCCCTCCTCTACCCTTCCTTCTATTTGTAGTATAGGATCCTTATATGCTCAGGTCACTCCTCTGTAATGGTCAATTGAGCGTCATGTGAGTGTAGCACCTGACTCCCATTGCCATTATGCTAATGATTTTTCTGTAATTAATTCTTTCTTAAGGCAGTTGAGTCATAATGCAGACTGTCTCTGACTTTGTGTTCCTTTTCAAAATATCATTCTGGTACTCGGTACAATCAAACGATCATACTAGATCTGAACCAGAGTTTTGGGGAAGCTTCGGCTCTTCATTCTGGCTCCTGACTGTGGTGCGGTATGTGGCACCGCGTAATGAAATGATTACTATCTCTGGCCCATGGTCGCAGCACTGTCCTAAGCCCTGTTGAACCTGCCGGGATGTTACTGAACTCCAGGGGACGCGGGAGGCTGTTTACTGCCATGCTGGCACCGTTCGCTACCCTACCGCTCAGGCTGTCAAAGATAGTCTCTTTTCTTCCTCAGAATTTCATCACCTGAAAATTTACACAGTTCCAGATCCTGAGATGCTCTGAGCACAGGGAAGTCTGGCAAAATTCGGAGAAGAGCTCGGCAGCAAAGTTTTTGTGCATGTAAACAGCAAGATATATTTGGAAAAAAAGTCTGAAGTAATCCGCACTTGAGGAGTGTCACTGCTACACGGTGTAGTACTAAAAGGCCCGTAAAGGTCCCTTCCAACCCACCCCATTCCATGATTCTACGAATATACTACTGCACTAAGATAAATATTCCTGCTTCGTAGCAATTGATGCTGAGTCATAATTATGAAGCAAAAACCTCCTAATGTTAAATTAGCTTCATGCTAGGCTGGATATGGGCTAAAGAGCACTTGTGTAAATACCTTGCCATTGTCTACCTAAACACGTTAATGGTTAAAAAACGTAGCCCAGATTTCTAGCTATCATTCTCTTCACGCTTGCCAACAGAAAGAACAACTTTTTCACAGAATACTCTGCTTTGGGGCATTAAATGGAAGTCACTTTAAGAAAGAAGGATAACCTATGCTAGCCAGCCTAGTGAGAGTTTACAGACTTCAAGAAAACGGTAAGGACGAGAGAGGATGTGGAAAGTGGATTTAACAGATGTTTTGCTGAGATTGAAATTCTAAAGCAATTTTAGTAAAGAACGTGTGATACAAAACTGTGATGTGTCCACCATATTTTACATGACTGTAATTTACCGGACCAAGTTTCCTGATGGCATAAAATGATGAAACTCCATCAATACTGAAGGAAGATTACCTTTTAGTGCACATAGCAGCATTAGGGGACCTCGGAGACTAAACCACAAGGCACCTAGCAAGAACTCAGCTCCTATAATGTGTTCTCCTATCAGGCGCCCAGATAAACAGTAGGAAGAGCACACTCGCACTTACGCCACCTCATTTATTCTAGCGTCCGTTCTAGTAGAAAGTCAGATTTCCTCAAAGAGCCGTTACACACCAGAGCTTCTCCAGTACAGCTGAGGACCTAGCCTGTGACTGCAGCGAAGCACACGGAAATAAGTTTCCGTTGTCCTTACGTAGGTAACTCCATGGATTCAAAGTGCTCAGGTTGAAAAGGCACAGTGTGAGAAACAGTGCTCTCTTGTGTTTGCTCTGTGATTACAAAGTGAGGAATGAGAAGCTGGGCGGCACGGGGGAATGCATGGCAATTGCAGCCCACCTCTGTGTCTGAGCAGCCCACGCTCCTTCGCTCACAGTTGCTGCGCAGCACAGACATTCTTCACGTTGTGTCCCGCTGGCTCTGCGTGGCGTACAGTTCTTCATTGTATGCTGCTAAGCACAAGGAGCTTGAGCGATACACCAAACTGCTGGAAGCTAGCGTAAAAACAGCAATATCTGAGACTTAGAAGCAGTTCCATAATGAATATTGACTGTGGAAGCGAGTAACATCCCTGAAGCGCATCAGAAAAATTGTTCAGAGAGAGAACTGACTTTTTAACTGTTGCTCTGCATTAGATACCTAAACAGACAGTAGATCGGATGATCTATAAGCGTCCGTGGCATTTATTTATTA